ATGCTATCAAAAGGGAATCTCAAAATAAAGATCGGCGATGGGCATCTCTCAACTAGATTTTGAAAAACTACATAATGCTACTTTTGTATAATGGTTAAAGGGTCATGTAAGTATAATTGACAAAATAAAATGACGTGATCATTTATTTAATTTTTCATATAACTATGTTAGTGACACATTCTTTCTAACAAATTAATATTTATTTTAGGCTAAATTAAATGTTTGGTCACTCAAATTAAATAAATCTTTCATGTTTGCCATCCGAATTACTTTCCTTTCATATTAGCCACTAACTTTACGATTTCTTTCACCGTTAGTCACCAGCCATCAGTCTCCGTTAGTTTTCCGATGACGTGGCAAACGAAACTGCTAACTGGACGGTTAAATTAATGACATGTCAATTACAAAAATAATAATTAGAACAATAATTAGAAAAATCAAGTGGGCCCACCTTCCCCTCCCTTGTCTTCTTCGCTTTCCCCAACCCCAACCTTGAATTGGAAAGCACGAACCCCAAATTGAGAATAATTGAGATGAATTGTATGGTAATAAAGCACAATACATACAACAATAAATTGAAGCAGGAGAAGCCGAAAGTCACTATAACCAAAACTCCCTGTCGCCGAGACCTCTCTCGACTTCGCCCAATTCTCCACTGACCTCCCCAATGATGTCGCCTTGCTCCATACTCTTCTCTTCAAACACCCTTTCCTTCACCACCGACGACCCTCCCCCCATCGATCTATAGCATTCACACCGGTGGCAGGCGACCAAAGAATCAATCCCCCTCCCTCCATCGACAATAACAACAATCACCACCGGCGGCAGTTCCTTCTTCGAGATTCGTCGCCATCGACAACAATAGCGTCGTTCGGCCTCGCCCCACAACCAGATTCCTCTAGATCTGGAGACTGAGAGATGACCAATATGAAAATCATCTTCCTCCTACTACACTTCTTCTCCATTCCTATAGATCCTCCATCTAGACCCGCCTCCCGTCTATCGAAGAAACCCTAAATCACCACCATCTTCTTCTTTTCCTTCCCCCAAGCTCATACGACGTTTCTCGAAGAAAGCCACATCGACCATCGATGTCTTCTTTTTCTCCCTCCAGCTCCGCCATCCATCTCGCGGAAAGGAGTTGTTGCAAGGAAAGTAATTCGGGTGGCAAACATAAAAGATTTATGTAATTTGAGTAACCAACGTGTAATTAAGCGATTTATTTTTATTAAGAAGAATCTACTTCTACAAAGGCTATTGAATATTTTGGCTAAATAATTGATATCATAGAGCTGAACTTTTATGAAAGATTCAGGATTGTGTTATTTAAGTGTGATTGGGCTGATGTCGAAAGAGGAAGAGGGGTAAAGAAAGACAAAGGTGGTTCATATAGGTAGAACTTGAATGATGAACCATTTTTTTTTGCTTCACAAGTTGAACTAGTGTTTTATGTTCAAGATTGAACAGAAGCAAGTTGGAGTGTTGTTGTTCGAGTTAAGCCTCGAGGCACATTTGAGATTGGAGATTAGCTAGTATTTTACTTCAAAATTAATTCATGGACATAATTTCTCTTTTTAGTTATATATTTGATATGTAATTATACTTCTCATTAATAATTACCTTCCATAAGATATATCATTTTATTTATTTTAATGCTAGTTCTCTCTGTTTCTATAAGAAACAAACAAACTATAGTTTATAGTGCCTTTCTCAATATGTATGGGTTTTCTTTGTTATTTTACTTTTGAAGATAACATAATACACAAGCATAATGCTACCTTAACAAATATACTTTAATTATTTGTTATTTCACGTTTGATATTTTTCCTATGGGGTTTCAGAATTCGGAAAAATTATTGCACAGCCCCTCTAATTTTTGAATGTAACATGAAAAATGTCGCAATAGACATAGTTTTAATGTGACAATTTTATAAACGTCGGAAGAACCTATCCACCAAAGAATTTACAACCAAATTTAGTCAAGCATTGTTGTCATTAAAATTAATGTAGCAACAATGGTGATTTCCACCATCATAATCTAAATGTCACAATTATTGTTTCCATAAATTATACAAGTGTGTGACGTTTAGTGTAAACGTCGTATAAAAGATTCTTTCCATCATTCTAGTCACATTTGTGGAAAGTGTCGCTATAAATAACCCTGTAATTTGCCGAATGTGATGCAAAAAAATGTCGCAATACACTAAGTTTTAATGTGACATTTTTTTAAACATCAGAAGAATCTACACGCAAAAGAATTTATAGCGACATTTAGCTAAGTGTTACTTTAATTCATACAAATGTTGCAACAACACTACTTTCCTCCATCAAAATTTAAACATCACCATCATTGTCGCCATAGACTATACAAGTGTAACGTTTAGAGTAAATGTCATTAAGCATGTCATTATATTATGTGTAGATACGAAGCTGGTAAGCATGTCATTAACTTCTTAGTGCACTCTCTCGATCCCACATCATTAGACTACTACACCTCGAATCTGAAATGAAAGACTACCCATATGTGAGTAGAATACTAATTTTCAACCAAATCATAAGGCCATTAATAGAGTTCAAACCATCAATCAATAATGTAAGTAACCTGGTATCATTTTCAACAAATAAGCAAAGGAGACCTTCCTTCTAGTCTTCTTAAGCCCCTGTAGAAAATCAATCAAACAAGTAGAGTCAAACCCAACTCTCCATATTGGAAAACCGATCCAACATATATGAACAAAAGCACTCATCAAGCTTCTCAATCATCTCCTTGTTCACTATTTGCGTTTCTCATGTGCATAGGACAAAACCTTTGGCATTTAAACTTATGAAGCACCTGTCAGACCAGAACCCCTGGTTTATGCACTGTGAGCGTTGAGCTAAAAAGATTGGATTAACATAATGACTACTGAAACTTAAATCAATGAGGGACAAAAATGGCTTACTCAGACCTTTTCCAGTGAGAGGTTGTGAATATCCCCAAAGCAACTAACAGATTTACCATAAAGAAAAATTGAAGAGAAAGAAGAATGTAAGTATAAACAAGTACAGAAGGGTATAACTCCTCTTTCATGAGTCCATTCAAAAACAATATTTACTTGATAGCCCTATTTAAGAAGATGGATCTTCTATATTCTACTAATTATGTTTATTTTCTGTCAAGGAAACCTGAAAGAAATCCATGCAAAGAATTCCTAGAGCCGTAAGAATGTCTAAGTAAGAGATATTGGGTGCAATTATGTGGGAGTAGATATAGCTCACATGCTCACATACTCACAAAGGCTACAGAAACTATTGTATTCACATAACTGATAAGTGGAAGCATCTATGTTGAAAATGTCAAACTTTCTATGTATTTGCATTGTATAAGAGCTATGTTCTCTAGTCTAAAATGGAGAATCTGGTATGATATAGCACAAGGGAGAGGAATCACTCGTTTCAATTTTCTAAAGTTATTCGATGGTCAATTCTGATCATGACTAGTATTACACAAGAAAGAGCTACGAAAACAACTATGCGAATAGATTCAGACTTGCCTTGGTGATAGAAGTTAATATGCTGCTTACACCTTTCTTTCATCCAAGATAGACCTGCAGAGAATGAGGATATCTTAGTAACAAGTCCCCTTCCTGAGACCACTGAATCCTCCTTCTAATTCTTTTCCCATGGACAAGAGCTAGCATGAGATGGCCAAGAACTGAAGAGGATCTTGCTCCTGAAGTTTCTCCCTACAATTTACTCTCTATCAGTTCTCTCACTCGATCTAATTCCATTTCTATCGAATTTTTTGATTCTCTTTTTCTTATCAAGGACCGACGCACGGGGCATGAACTTTATCGCGGCTATGCGGTGGATGGTCTCTATACTCTCCCATTGCACATTTCCCGTCATCTTTCTCCCGTTGCTTGCGCCGCTTCTTTTGATGTTTGGCATCGTCGTCTTGGTCACGCTAATGAACGGGCTGTCAAGCACGCTCTTCATCAGCATCAAATAAAATTTGTTTCCTCTCCCCCTTCTTTGTGTCATGGTTGTGCAGTTAGTAAGATTCACAAGCTTCCCTTCTCTTCCTCCACTTTTCAAGCCACTACACACCTCTTGAACTCGTTTGTAGTGATGTGTGGGGTCCTGCCCCTATTTTATCTTATGATGAGCAATCCTATTATATTCTATTCTATGATCATTATAGCAAATTCTCATGGATCTATTTCATACGCTATAAGTCTCAGCTGCTTAGTGTCTTTATTCAGTTCCGCCAATTGGTCGAAATTTTTTTTGGCCTTCCCATAAAAACTTTCCAATCGGATTGGGGCGGTGAATATCAGACATTATCTACATATCTCTCCAAACACGGTATTGCTCATCGTTCTTCCTGCCCCTACACTCCAGAACAAAACGGATGTGCGGAACATAAGCATCGCCATATTGTCAATAATGGCCTTGCTCTTCTCCATCACTCTAATGTCCCTAAAAAATATTGGCCTCTTGCCTTTGACACGGCGTGTTATCTTATTAATCGCACTCCCACCCCATTACTTCAAAATGATTCACCCTTTCACTTTCTTTTTCACAAAAATCCCGATCTATCTAGTCTTCGGGTTTTTGGTTTCCTCTGTTATCCATGGCTCCGTCCCGTCACTCCAAACAAACTTGCCCCCCGCTCGCTCCCCTGTGTTTTCCTCGGATATAGCAAGCTTCATAAAGGTTATTGTTGCCTCCACATTCCTACTGGTCCTATGTCAGTCGACACGGTTTATTTGATGAAATGTGGTTTCCCTTTGCTTATCAGTCCATTATTTCTCCACCCATTTCTAGTTCCTCCGATATCACTATGCTGCCCACCCTTCCCTCACTCACTCCCAACCCAGGCCCTCTTTCTCGGCCCAATTCAGCTCCACAGAACCCTGCTGTCTCTTGTCCTAACTCCCCAGCCCCAGGCCCAACCACTTCTCCCACTCGGCCCACCACTGCACCCATTCCCTCTCCCCCACTTCACAGCCAAACCAATGCTCGGCCCACTTCCCCATCTCAGCCCTCCAACGACATCTCCCACTCTGGCCCTTCGTCCTCCTCCCCTCCACCCGATCCACTGCTGCCCCTGCCGACAGCTCCCTCCGCTGTCGTCCCACCTTCTCGGCCCCTTCTTCAGTACCAGCGCCGCCGTCCCGCCACCATCACCATCATCCCATCTTCCCCTGTTCCCACCAGCTCACCATCCGTCCACCCTTCTCCCAAGTCCCACCCCCTGCCTCCTCGCCGTCCTTTGCCGAAACGCCCACCATTCACAACTTCCCCTCGCACTATCCCAATCACAAATCCCACCAGCTCTTCACATCCCATGGTAACCAAAATCAAAACCGGCCATTTAAAACCCCGCACTCTTCTTGCTACCCTCCATGTTGATGATACCCCAACCTCTGTGACCCAAGCACTCAAGCATCCCCAGTGGCGTTCGGCAATGGCCGATGAGGTCACTGCTCAACTTCGGAATCACACGTGGGATCTGGTTCCCCGGCCGCCCAACTGCAATCTTCTCTCCAATAAGTGGGTTTCCCGAACCAAGCTGCTTCCTAATGGCCAACTGGATCGTCGTCGTGCTCGCCTTGTGCCTCGAGGCTTCGAACAAATCCCCGGGTCTCGATTTTGATCAGACATATAGTCCGGTCCTGAAGCCTGCTACACTAAGGCTCATCCTTGGACTTGCAGTCAATCAAAATTGGCCTCTACACCAAATTGACATAGCTAATGCATTTTTTACATGGTGAGTTGCAGGAGAAAGTCTATATGCAGCAGCCCCCCGGCTTTATTGATCAGGATAAACCTGACCATGTTTGCTGCCTTTGGAAGTCCATCTACGGTCTCTGCCAAGCTCCCCGAACGTGGTTCCACTGCCTAGCTGCTGCCCTCTCTCGGTTCGGCTTCGCTGTCTCCCGAACGGACCCGTCCCTCTTCATCTACAAGAATGGTGTCACTCGACTGTATATGCTTGTTTATGTGGATGATATCGTCATCACGGGTAATGATCCCTCCCTCATTCAGCGACTGTTCGCATTTCTCCGGGATAATTTTGCTCTGCGGGAACTGGGGCCATTGTCATATTTTCTCGGCCTCGAAGTCAGCCGCTCCTCCACTGGACTCGTCCTCAGTCAGCGGAAGTTTATTCGTGATCTTCTTGAGCGAGCACACATGTCTACTGCAAACCCATTTCCACTCCTTGCACTATTGATATCATCCAACAATCAGCCATGGATTCTTCTTCCCTGTTTGCTGATCCCGTTCTGTATCGCAGCATTGTCGGCGGCCTGCAATACCTAAGCTTCACCAGACCGGATATTTCCTTTGCGGTCAACCACGTCTCTCAGTTTCAGCACTCTCCAACGGATAATCATTGGGCCGCAGTGAAGCGCATTCTTCGCTACCTTCGAGGTACTATTGATCGTGGTCTTGTGTTCTCCAAATCTCCATCTCTCCATGTCCATGGTTATTCAGATGCCTCATGGGCCTCTTGCCCTAGGGATCGAAAGTCTATCACTGGGTTTGCTGTGTTCTGCGGCACCAATCTGGTGTCCTGGTCAACCCGGAAACAGAAATCCGTTGCTCGATCCTCCACCGAATGTGAATATAAAGCCCCTGCAGTTCCCCTACTTTTATTTTGGAACAATGTGGTGGTTTGGTATTGAATTTTAGATCTTTTGGTACTGATGTTCTAGAATTGTTTAAGAGAGTCATTTACTTATGGTTTATCATGATTAAGAAGTGTCTACTATTTATATAGATGACTGTTTATTAGAAACCGGTTCTCAAACTGTTTTTAAACGATCTAATGTCGGCTGGACCGCTAAAGACCGAGCCATTCGCGTTTCCGAGTCATACTCCGGTTTGGTTCTGACAACATTGCATGGAAGTATGAAGAAGTAGATAGGCGGAAAAGAAAAGAGGATCGAAGACTGGAATTTTAGACCCATTTATGCTTTTCCTTCCTTTAACGTAAGTTCGTAACCAGGTTGAGCTGGATGGTTTTTTTCAACGCTTTACAAAATATTTTTTCTAAAAATATTTATGTTACACTTAACTCAATTTTTTCTAGTGTTTTTAGTATAAATATATATTTTATGTGACACATTGCGTCATCACGCAAAGTGATAACGATGTATTTGCACATGTTTGCACCCTTAGTTCTTATCCGTTTGCTACTAGTAGTCGTGTATATTTGGCCCGTTTTACGCTGGGTTGTGCTACTTTGTCATATTTCAGGTCCCAGACGTCGAAGGAAAGGCTAAGCACGAGATTCGGGGCGTATGGAGGTCATTTGGTCGAGCTGGGGGAAAAACACGGGCAGGAGGCCTGAAGAACACGGTCGTGTACACAAACAGGCACACCAGTGTTTTTATGTGCGAGAGCTGAACAGATGGAAAAGCAAAACACGGGTTGGCCTAAAGAAAAACACGGTCGTGTCCATATTTAGGCAAGACCGTGTTTTGGCCGACACGGGCATGTTTTTAACACGTGGCAAGGGCACGGACGGACAAAGGCAAAACACGGTCGTGCCCTCGACTTTTTGAGGCAGATTCGAGCCAAAGGAGAGAGAGTCGACTTTTTGGAGCAAAAACAGAGTTTTAGAGAGAGAAAGTGCGAAGAACAAACCCTATGAGCTATTTGGAGTGGATTTCTCACCATTGAAGCCCAGATTGCATCCCCAGGAGTGAAGATTGACATCCCATAGCAGATTTTCTTCATTTTTATGAGTATGACTACTCTGATTTCTATTTTCCTCTCTCTCTCTCTCTCTCTCTCTCTCTCTATAGAGTAGAACTTTCTCTCACTTGGGTATGAAGAACCCTAGTTCCATGTGTTAGGAATCTTGATTGTAATTACGTTTGGATTGTGATATTGCTTGATTATAATAAGTTGAAGTGTTTTGATTGAGTCAATTGAAGTCTGATCATCTTTTATTGATTTCTGCTGCAACCTGAGATAGATAGAATCTGATTAGGTTGTTAGAGCTTCTTCATTCGGTAGCAGTGAATCGATTATACGAGAGTTGGTCGATTCACTACTTTGTACTGGAATCCAATTCTAGTAGTGGAGTTCTGTGTTCATTGCCTCAGCGTTCTATCATGGTGAAGACTAGTCGTCTGTCGGGTAGTTTGACGGAGAGGGCTTGGTCAGCTTAAGAGATTCCAAGCCACTGTCGGATCTTCCACAGTATAATAAGCAGTAAAGCAACCAAAAGTAATTACAACTGTGACCTAACTATGGAGCTAGGGGGACTCATTCTCGAGTGACTCTTCCTTTGCTTTAGAAAACCGAACCATTTCCTGCTTTCTTACTGCTTTTACTTAAATCAACAATCAATCAACTTAGTTTGCTAGATAACAGATATACACGGAGTAAGCAGTAGATCTAGACCCCGGGTTGACAATTTGAGCTTTCCTATTACTGCATTTCCGGACTGCGATTACGCTTGGTCCCAGTTTGGTGTTGTGTTTTAGCATGTCACAAAGTTATTACAGAAACGTGACAAAAAATTCATTACAAAAAATGATTAACCTGTAACGCTAAAATTCGTCACAGTAAAAATCTCAAGCATGCCATCATTTTTATGTTACAATCAATCAAATTTGTCACGTAAAGTGTATCTTATGTGATGAAATGGACCATGTCACAGAAAAATTCGTTAGAGAAGAGGCAGTTTGTTGTAGTGGTATTTTGCCTATTTTGTATTGTAAAAAGATTAAGCTAATATGTTGTCAAAATTAAAAGCTTTAGCTTATAACAGGAACTTATTAAAAAGGAAATTATCAAATTTTTATTGAAATTTGAGGTGACAACTAATATGAAACGCCGGTTTATGAATGATACCGGATCAACTACTAAACCATTCTGATAAAAAAAGAGAAGAATAATACCAGTATGCATGCAGTATTTAAATTTGGACGTTATTTACCTGCACGGTGAGTTCTAGGGGGTTCCTACAACCAGTCCACGTGTCATTCGCTAATTGGTTATTTTTCTTCTTACTTTTTAATTGATTTCCCATTTAAAAGCTTCCACAAATTCTAACGGGATAGCAGTAACGGGGTGTTTGTACAAAGAAAGAGAAATTTTATCACCTCCTCTCCTTTCTTTGTCACGTGCAATTCAAAGGACTTTTTTTTTTTGCAACAAATAAAGAGTTTGCACACTGTAACTTCATTGTTTTCATTTTAGTGCTAAGTCCTATGACTATAATTATGTGAATTGAAATATCATTTTATCAACTAAAACATGTAATCAACATACAATCAACAACCACCACAATCAATCTCCCAAAATAATGTAATATCTCGGAATTGTGCCAAAATAAATCTCAAAGTAAATTACATGCATAATCCATTCTAAAAGGTTATCAATCAAAATTTTTTTAAAATAAATCTCAAAATAAGTTTCTAATAAAGAATTCAACAATGTCATTTCACCAAGAGTTGATAGAAAAATATGTGTTCGCTATTTTGTTGCATCAGCATGTGAATTTGCAATTGCCTCATGTATTGGGTATTTAGCATAATTTAGCTTCCTGTTGGATCTCAACATAGGTTTCATTGGAGTAGGGGTAAGCTCATGGTTATAGTTTGCTTCAAATTTAACAATCTCAAGCATGCCATCATTTTTCAGCTGACATGTCATCTCACGTAAACAACCCACTCTTGTTATTGGTCTTACGTAGGCTACCTTCTCAGACCTTCTACAGCTTCGTGGTGAAATGCTATAGAGATCCAAACACAATCAGCCTCACAAATGAGACTATCTTGACTCTCATTCCTAAGACTGATAGCCCTTTCACCATGAATCAATTTCGCCCAATTAGTCTTTGTAACGTGGATTATAAAGTGGTGGCCAAGTGCTTAGCTAATAAGCTTAAGCGCTTTATGCCCCAATGGATCCATAAAAATCAGTCGAGTTTTGTTCCTAACGAACACATCACTGATAATATTTTTGTTTTGCCGGAGACTATCCATTCGATGACAAACAAGAAGGGGAAGAAAGGAACTATGTTACTCAAGGTCGACTTGGCCAAAGCCTACAACAGGATCGATTGGGCTTTCCTTGAAGACACTTTTAGAAAGTCTGACATCCCTGATGGCAGTGTTAATATGCTGATGAAGTGTGTCAACACCACCTCAATGCAAGTTCTCTGGAATGGAGGGGAAACTTAATCTTTCAAGCCTTCCAGAGGTCTTAGGCAGGGATGTCTCCTCTCACCCTATCTCTTTACTCTTTGAGTTGAAAGATTGAGTCATTGCATCTTAGAGGAAGTTAGGTTGAAGAACTGGAAACCTGTTAGATTGTCTCCTAGGGGGCCCCA